ACCACACTAGCAGATGCCACACCATTGATATGATACACACCTCGAGCCACGTATTTGGCAAGTAACTCGTACGGGAAAGTGATCAACCAACCGAGCACCTCCTTGGTGATGAAATCGGCGATGAAATCGTAGGTAGGAGACGGCTTCTTGCCCTTTCGTCGGAATATATTGAAGAGGAAGATGTTGAAGATCCTCTCAGCCTCTTCCATGGAGAACCATACACCATCGTAAGCCATTTTAATAGAGTAGATAATCACAGCTGATCAAAGAGGCTAGCTGTAAGGGTAAAAAGACGCCAAAAACGATCCTAAAGGAACAGAAGGAGACATTTGAGTACGTCGTGATGAAGTCTTTCACTCGGCTGTGATCAAGGGCCTCTCGAAACGGCGTGAAAACGTCTTGATACGACTAGCGACGGGGGTGATGGAGCATCAAGGTTTCCCACAGTGCACCAAAATTTGTCAATTTCGGAGAAAGCCGAGTATTTCTCGCGCGCCCAATTTTGTTTACGGGGGACAAATAAATGCCCTCGCTGGAAATCGAACCGCGGAGTATACCGCAACGCAAGGTAGAGTGCACACTTCCTATCTCAGAACTTGTGCGTGTGAAATTCCAAATTATTTTCGTCACGGAAGTTCCGTCACTGCATTTTATGAGTGAATACCCCCCATGAGCCATTCAGAATGTCGCAGCTATTTCACTCAATACTTGAATTCAATGCAGCATCACAATCATCCTAGTTATGTGGCATCGTTCGAATGAACGTTTCTTGCCGATTCACTAACCGTAAGCAACTAACATTAATCAAATTAAATAGTAAGCAACGAGGAATGTATAACTCAAATAGCAATGGGCACTCCCTCTTAAAATGATACCATCATACAACCGACTGATAGCATCATAATCATAGAACTTCTGTAACGTTATTGTGACGCTATCACCCCCGATGCCCGGGCTGCCAATCGAGGTCAAAAGATGTCTCTTTGATATCTCCAAGTCGACAGCGTCACGACGTGACGATGATTGTGCCGATGTTCGGTCCGACTATCGCCGACGACTATAATCAGAGTCTCCAAATGTGACTAGAATTCATCAACTTCCTTTTGTTTACTCAAGACAACATCATCAATTGCAACGGTCTCAACCGTCACATCAAACGAAACGATCGCGAAATCGATGAATCCCGCAACACTGTTACTAATGAACACTACCCCAACACAAATAGAAACACTTCATGTTCGTTTCAACGAGATGACATAATCATTTCCAGACGGCGAATAAATTCACCAACATCACCAAACCGGCAATACAACGGCACCGGGGCCAACCGTATCAAATTGGGGTTCCTGAAGTTTAATCAATCAATTCATCACTGAAATAGATGAGGAACAGGTACTCAACCAAACCCTTATATACCTCAGGGTCGCACAGTAAACCGATTTCGAACCTCAGAATCGATTATAGAATCAACTCTCACACGCATAATACCTTGCTAGAATCAATTCTGAATTTCACGATTAATTGAACATAAGGTTAAGATAAGTGACACATGAAACGGTTTTTCACGCAAGATGTGCATGAAGATACTCCTCCGAATATATAACGTGCGCAACCAGGGAGGGAGATCAACTCCTCACCAGTTCACAAACTCACCGATAATCTGTGATAATTCCCGCACTTTCCAGTTCACGATGCACCCTTAACGTGAACTCCGTCACACTCTCCTCCCCAGCGCCAGGCGGAACTCTCTAAACACGTTAATCATTCATAACGACAATCGAGATCATTAACCCACTTCAAATTTCAAACTCAGCTGAGCTCCTCTTTCACGTGGGTCAAATGGTGTTATTATTCGGAAAATCATCTCAGCGCCTTTCCCTGTTAATTTATTCACTTCCCGCTGGAGCAAACCCGTTAGTAATATCGATTTCGTTCTAAACACGTAATCATTCGCCCTCTCAGCAGAGTTCTTTATTCACCACCTAAGCTGAGTCATACTAGTCTTATTGAAAACATCGAGGCTGCCCATCATCGCGGCAGCAGCCAGCATTGGTACGTTCGACAATCGCATTGCAGCAGCACCAGTCTCAGGCTCCCATTCGTTCGTCATTTCGAATCGAGTACTCTCAAGGTGTTCCCACCAACCTGCTAGCATAAAACCACTCAAAAAGGCACTAGCATTGAGTTTCGACTCACCCTTGAGAT